GAAAAATAACAACATGGCTAATTTAGCAAGCTATACAAGTGATTGATCATCCACCGCCGTGTGGATAATCAATCACTTGTATAGCTTGCTAAATTAGCCATGTTGTTATTTTTCAATGTGCCAAATTGATGTAAATGTTTGATGTTAAACTTTGATTCTGTAAATAAATGACCACATTCATTTTGATGGGTCAAAGATAAATAACGTCTCACGATACATTTTATTAAATTCAATGCACGTTATATACAGTCCAGAAAAATGAAAGAACTCGTTTAGTTGATGAATATATCTCTGGATATGTCATACTACAATACACATACATACATATACATATACACATACATACATATACATATATACATATATATATATATATATATATACATATATATATATATATACATATATATACATATATATATATACGTAGTGATGTTTAAAATTTACGAAGCCTTTATTATCCATATTTCTGCATAAATATGATCTAAAACATCATCAGATTTTCACAGAAGTCCTAAAAGTAAATAAATAGAACCCAGTTAAACAAATGAGACAAAAATATTATACATGGTCATTTTTATAGAAGAAAATGATTCAATATTAAATATTTGTGAGTACAAAAGTATGTGAATCTTTGCTTTCAGTATCTGGTTTGACCCCCCTATGCAGCGATATCTGCAACTAAACATCTCTGGTAACTTTTGTCCTTAACTCAAGTAGCTGAAATACAAAGTAGTATAAAGACAAATCTGTGCCAATATCGACTGGGAGTCCCACAGTCAAAGTAGGAGATGCCACCAAGGATGGTGGAGAATGTAAGGGCCAAGATACTGTGGGACTTCAAGAGCCAGTTCAACAAACAGGTGATGGCTAACCAGCCGGACATTAAGGTGGTCGACAAGCAAGAGAAGATGGCATCCCAAGTGACCAACATCAGGAACAAGATGCACGAGAAGCTGGAGAAATACCAATGGCTGAAAGAGGAAATACAGAAGTTGTGGAGAGTCAAAGAGTCAGTGGTCATTGGAGCAGTCTGTGCTGTGACCCAAACTGGAAGAGTGGCTATAACAGATCCCAGGAACAACCTCAGAGATCTATGTGCAGAAGAGTGCAGTCCTAGGAAGAGCTAAGATACCAAAGAAAAAAAAACTTAAACTCCCAGATGTCTGGTAGTGGACCAGAGTTTGAATATAATTTAATTTATGCATTTGAAAAGAGAACTGGTTGTGCAAATTATAAAGAAATGAAGAGCAAACACTGTGAGCGCCTTTTTTCCTCCTCTCAGTTTATTATTAACTCCTACATTATTACCAGATAATGCTTCCGCCCAATATTTGACAAACAGAACTCAATATTATAATGAAAAAAATATTGACAGGTTATAGGTCTCATTTGATTATTAGCCTTCCAAACTATTGAATGAAAAATATGCCATAAAAAATCTCCAATTTTTAATATATATATATATATAATTTTAATTGATATTTACATTGTAATTGCAAAGTTTTCCACTACTGCACTTACTTTGGTAGTTTCAGTGTTTGTGCTACACTGATAGCAGAAAACAAAGCAGTGCATTAATGCACCAATTCTCTTGAACTGAAGTGGCTCCTGTGTACTTCAAACCAAGCAAGTAGGTGTTAGTCATTAGTCTCTGCTGGAGTTGCTTTTGATTTTCTATTTGTGTTGGTACAGGATGTATAACATGAGTCTCACATTTTCACACTTATAATTAATACAGGTTACAGGTTGGCTGAAAAACTGCTGATATTTTAGTCGGTGTAAACCTTATAATATAATGTACAATAGAAAAAGGTGCTTAGTTGTGTTTGTGATTTGTATCAGGGCTTGTTTTATTTATTTATTTATTTTTCATTCCTTAAATCATGGCTCTAACTACCTAATCATCTTGGATGTAACTGGGACCCTATGTACACAATTTCGTCCCACCTCATGTACCATATGTGACGTGAATGATAATAAAAACTACTTGAACTAGAAATCAAAATATTTAAAAAAAGATTCAACCAAGGTAAAATTGGTATTTTTCAAAATTAATGGTCAGCATTTATTGGTGATCCGGTTTCCTAAAATGCAAAGACAGATTAAGACAAACATAAGTATTATAAATGAAATATGCATATATATATATATATACGTATATATATATAAATATTATTTTAAATATATATATATAAAAAAATGGGGTAAACATGTCTCCACTGAGTTTAGCTGCATGTATAAAATGTTTTAGTTGTATGACCATTATGTCCTTTTAATGTGTACACACATATATGAGACATAACCTGAAAATGTTCAAACTAGAGGTTATATTTTGTGTTTAGATTTAAAGTGAAGAACAGCTATACACATTGACATGATTCTGTTGTTAATATGTTGAACCCAAGTACAGGCAGACATCAGGGGACACCAAGATAAAAATAATTTCTACTTTAAACAAAACAAAACAAAACAAAAGCTGACGGGAAAGCAAAAACTAACTTGGAGGGAGGAAACGACGGGAGGAGCAGAACATGACAGACTGGGAAGCACAATGCACAGACAAAGGAGGAAACACAAAGACACTGAATTTATAGGGAGACAGAGTGACCAACACCTGGGGTTATTGAGATTGGAAACAGGTGATACAGGAGCTGAGCAAGAAAGAAAAACACTGGGGAGTGCAGGAAACACACAAATTAAAGAGAAGACAGAACAAAACACAGATTCCCACACAAATAATAATGTCATCACAATGTCAGCACTGTATGTTTCCATACAATGGCGAAATTAGTCTCTGCATTTAACCCATCCACCACCAGGTGGTGCAGTAGGCAGCTATTGAAAGCGCCCGGGGGACATTTTGGGGATGAGACATGCTGCCCAGAGACGCCACGTGATGTGCAGTGACTGGGGATCGAACCTGGGACTTTCGGGTCCCAAGCCGGCTGCCCTGCCTCTACACCATCTCGGCCCCCTAATTATAACATTCTACTCTTTATATTTAGCCCAAACTGCAATACTTAAAATAACATTAACGTATTTTTCGCCCTATAAGTCACAGGTTTTTTGCATAATTTGCATGCCCTGCGACTTATACGATTTGTAGATATTTCCCATTTTTATAAACCAATTTTTGGCTGAGATATGACAATTTTCATTCATTCTGACCAAAAAATATTGAACACTACTATTTTCAGCCGCTAGATGGCACTCGAGTAATATGGCATGCCGTTGTATCATGTAATAGGTAAAAGTGGCTATTAATGACACAATTGGCTTGCATAGCCTTCCACCTTCATTCTGCTCGCTGCTTGAAGCAATCGTGAAATCAGTTTCATTTCTTGCACCGCTCCAGTGAAATGCAGTTAATTTGATCATTAAAGTGCATTTATTAAGTAAAAGTTCAACTGAGACACACCTTTGCTATAATTTTGAGCAAACAAATAAATGTTTTAAGTGTTTATCTTGTTAAATTTCGAAGAAATGTGCAGCATTCCTCTTGATTTCCTCCCTGTCTGCGCGCTCCCGGAGCACTGAGGCAGCAAATACTTTTGAAATGTAGCTGATATAGGGCGGTGCGATGTTTATGGTGGTAAATATGATAGTTTTCTAACGTATTGTTCTGTCTTTTGTTGAACTGATCATTTGCTTCGACTGCTGTCACAAGGGTTACATTTGAAAAGTAAACTGTGTTAAATCTATGAAAGATTTGTTTGTCTTTTACACTTGGTCATGTTTATTGATTTTAATTAAACTCATCGTAATTTGTATATATGTACAAATATATACAAATATATACAGTAAATTTGTGTATACTATTTTTTTTAATGCTGCTTTTATAATTGCCGCATCTTCAACTGTCAAATAATTTTATTTCACAGTAAAAAAATAAAGATATAAAAGTATCAGAGCCATGGAGCCAACACAGAATAAAAATCCTCTTCTTAGCCACTCTGAGCCGGCACATAAAGCTGTACCACTGTGATGCTGCAGCAGCTTCTTAATCCACACCTCCAGCCTTACCTTAGAAAAAAAATAAAAAAATAAAGATCCTATTATCCACTATACAACCAATTACCTTGTTGTTCCAACATTTACCTGCTGAGTTTGTATTTATTTTGTCTTGAGATTTGGAGCTGCTATAGAAATTATGCAGACTGTCCATGTCCAGAACTGGATAAATAGACCTGTTTCAATATTATAATTCTGATGTTTGCTACACTCCAGTTGGTTAGCAACAGTGGTTTGGAGGTTTACTCTCTGACTTGTATGTGGAGTGAGGTTGGGAAGCTACAGTCAGTTCCTTCCTTGATGTTATTCATCCAGGTTTGTCTGACTCTTTTTTTTTGCTTTCCATTTACTCTTATTTGCAAGATTGTCTTTGACAAAGAGAGATGCCTTGTAATGAAACCTGGTCAGTTTACAGCATCTAACTATTGAGCATTTTACTTGTTTTCCAGCAAGGGTCTTGTCTCGTGCTTTATGTCAAGTAGCATCCTCCTGTAACATTTATTTTAAAAGAACTGTATTGTTCTCTCAGTATTTGCAGTGAGGGACAAGCTCTCACATCCATAGAAAAGGGAAGATATCATAATGTAAGACACCTTGAGAAAAACTAGGACTACAGTGGTACCAGAGTCAGAAAGATTTATTTATCATTCGCGTATCATGTGGTACATGTGGTGGAACGAGATTGTGTACACAGGGTCCCAGTTACATCCAACAATAAAATGTAAAAGAAAAACATTAATAAGCTCTAAAGTATGAGCTAAGAAAAACATCAACTAAATAATACACTAAGCACTATAGCATAAAAACATTACGCCAAACAGCAGCACGACAGTAACATGAAACAAATCAGCAGCAACATGATGTGATTTTTCAGTGTTTATCCTGGTTAGAGATTCATGAGTCTTACAGCCTCAGGGTAGAAGCTGTTCCTCAGTCTAGTGGTCCTACACTTAATGCTCCTCAACCTCCTTTCTGAGGGGAACGGGGCAAAAAGTGTGCATGCTGGGTGAGTGGTGTCCTTCATGATGCAGGTGCACAGGATGCTCTCCACTACACACCTGTAGAAGGAGGTGAGGACTGAGCGTTGCAGACCAGCTCGTCTCAGCCGCCTGAGGAAGTAGAGTCTCTGATGAGCTTTCTTGATCAGTGGTCACTGGAGCAGTGGGTTCTGGGACCAGCTGTCAAGTTTTTGGCAGGAGAACCAAAATTGAAGGTTGACAGATCATATGGAAGAACAGGACATTTATATGCAGATATGTTGATCTTCATTTAGTTGCTCCCTTCTTCAGAGCTCTCCAAAAAGAGCGAGATCAAACGAAAGCTTTGCAATCGTTTAACGCCAGATGCACTTCATGATGCAACCTGGGCTGGATCCTCAGGAAGCCTCCGGATTACAAGATTGTGGTACTTAACATCTAGCTAACTAGCTAAAATTATGTTTTATCTTGAATTTAGTATGTGCGGCTTACCGTTAGGTGCGTTCTGTAGCCTGGCAGTTATGGTATAAATGGGACTTTTTATTATGTTCATATTAGTGTTGCTGTTAACTTGTGTTGCTGTTGGACATACATTTTTTTAAATATTTTGCACTATATATAATTATGTAGAAAAGCCAAAATTTCAATATTTGTTTTAATTTCTTATATATGATTTGTTATATTTTGTGCTCTGTAATGTTCTTTATACAGAACGGAAGGTTACATAACTCTATAATAAATCAATGGGCTTCACTTAAAGATGTATTTGCATTTCATGTATAATATTATTGCATGTGGCCCGCAGCCCTCTGATAGATTTTAAAATTGACCCTCGGGGAAAAAAGTTTTGGGCACCTCTTTTTCTAGAGCCTGTCTTGTGTAGGAGTTCTCCTTCTGCCTGGCTCCTGAGCTAGTGGGGGCGCTGTCTGCTCTGTGGTACAGAGTCCTGATGACTCCTAACTTGTGCTCCAAAGGGTGATGGGAGTCAAACTGCAAATACTGGTCTCTTTGGGTGGGTTTGTGTTACACCTCACTTTCAA